TTTAATTATAGGAAATGCGTTTTTCTAAGGTACATAAACTTTTGGGATTGACTGTAGCCAATACATCCTTAATGCGTTTCTCGAATGTTTCATCGTCGCTGCGCCGTAGAGATAACCGAATTGTTGCGGGTTACGGGTTGCGGGAATTGGCATATCGTATCACGCGGACTAAAGTATTCGCGCGCGTGCTTTCCACTTCGTGCTCTGCGCGTCCCTAACACCCTCTCCCCTCCCCTCCCCCCCGGAAGTAAGACCGTGATTTCAACGTATGGTCTTCGGAATGATATAATATCTTTCTCATTCTTTGGCGACACCGCCTCGGCCTTATCGGCGACCCCGCCTCGCGATCCGGCTGAACGAACTTTTGTTTGATGCAGTGGACGCGTAAGGTCACGCTTATCGTGCTCGCGGAACATGTTCATTTAGAATTGAAAGGATACTACTTTCCGCTCGAGGTACGCATCGTGCATACGTATCTCGACTAGTTGATCGCTGGAACTCTGGTTTTTCTCCTGACCGGGGAATCTGGGAAACAGGCGGATGTGCATCTTGAGATGTCCGTTCGTCCACTGGTTCGGTTATTGGCAGCGAATGGGAAGAGGAAGACGGGAAAGACGATGGATCGAAGACATTGGCAGCCGATCGGAGATCTATTTCCGAGCGTAAAAAGATTGCCCGAATGCGTCGCCGCGCGTGTTCGTTCCGAAACGGAAAGAATCGTGACGATTTCAAATAAGCGTCACGCGACGCGATCACGCGAGCCGATCAGACGTTCGCGCCTCATCTGCGAGCTTCTCGAGAATCGTTTGACGCCGTTGATCAACGGTTGAGTCGTCGTCGTCGTCGTCGTCGTCGCCGCAAACGGCGATGGCCACCAACCATCACGATAATTCTGCGTTTTAATGGCCGGATTCCGCGAGTCATCCGATTGCGTAACGCCGCGATGTACGGCTACTACGCGCGTGGATGGCCCGGCGGAAACTCGGTGCTCGGAATTTCAGCTGCCGTCTACGTACACTGGACGCAAAAGGACTTGCTGGAAAAAAGTGCAGCGATTCGAGGCATGGGACGAGGAAAAGGAGAAAAACGTGAGAGTACTTGGAGATCGAGATACGCTCGACGGCGCGACTACTTCGGCGATCCTTACGCATTAAATTCTCTATCGATGGTGTACTTACCTTGAACACGGAGGCGGCTTCGCGAAGCTTGCCTTGTCCGCGCTAGCGTAACATCGAAGAACGACGAGGAACGTGAGGAACGCAGAATTCGGTAGGATTTTCATCGAAACGTACTGCATGGACCTCGATGCCATTTCTTTTTAAACGCCTTCGGCGACCCCTCGATAGGATCGCCCTTCTCCCTTTTCCAAGCTCTTTTTCTTATTTATCTCTCTCTTCCCCACTGTCTATTTCTCTTTTGCTCGTTTTTCTTTCGCTCTTCTTTTCGCCTTTCTCCCCCCGCCCCTTTGTTTCTCACTCCCTCTCCCTCTTACCTCCTTTCTCTTATCTTTCTCTCAGTTTCGAGCTCTGAAAACTCTCGCCTGCCTTCCGTACGTTCTCTCTAACGTTCGCTTTTCTCTAATGTTCGGGAGGTATTTGACTTTCGAGTTCTTTCGTTTGCTTTCGACAATCGCTTGCGAATGTGCTAGTAACGTGGAAAGGACGAGACGCGAGACGATATTTAGAGCTTTTCTTACTTTTTGGTGATCGGTCGTGGCTGTGGACCTTCCGTCTTTCGTAGCCTGCGAGGCGGTCTCAGCTCCAATGACAAGGCCGCATCTTCCCTGAAACAATAAACGATTACACGATTAGCTCACCAGTCTTCCCATTCCTCGAGGGTTTTCACTATGACTACGTCAGTGGCGAACGTGAGCGGAGGATGAAAAACAGGAAGACAAAGTCAGAAGAAGCGAAACGATCGGAATAGGACGATATGAAGAGATGCGGGGAGAGATCGCGCATTCTATTCGCGACTTTGAATGGAGGCGAGTGCTTAAAGTAACGACATAGCTTAAAAATAGACGAGAGCCTATAAAGCCGGCTCGGCTCGTGACCACCGACACCTATTCGTATACAACCGCTGAACGCTTCCGCTCGCCGAGACTGCCACAACGATTAACGATCCAGTTGCTCCTCTCCGTGAATCGAATCGATTGACGATACCTGGTTACGCGATGATTAGTTACGCGAGAAACGCTCATTACGGCGAGTAGGGAAATTTCCGCGGTCGCAAGGTCAATCGGGAGTGATAAATCGTGAATCGGGCAACGTCGACGAGAATCACCAGTAATGATTTATCAGTACTCTCACGGCCAGCCGTTCACTCCTGTTAATGGATCCGATTGAAATTGCTCAGGAATTAGTGCGAACCATTCGACGGTGAACGAGGCGCCACCAACGCAACTATACAAACGTCGAGGTCGTAACTCGCATGCGACTGACGTACGAGTTCGAAACACTGAGACTGCATAAATCCATATTTGTACCGAACGATTATCAGTTATTTTTCGGTACAAAATTGCGATGCGATCCTTCAACTTCTAACGACGGTGCATTGCTCCCCTTCGTTTCTCTCTCTCTCTATTAAGTAGTGTCGACGATCCTTGAATATTTGCTACCGTTTATACGATAGCTCGCGGGGACGAATGCATAAACGCTTACCCGCAAACTTGACCGAAACGGTATTCGGCAACACGACACGGCCCGACGCGAAGACTTGGTCAGCAAAACTTGGACGAAGACGAACAACGATGGATGGATGTAAATATGAGTACGAATGGAAATACGTTCGGATGGATTGGAGCGAGGAACGAAAGGAATCGTGAAAAGTTCGCAGTCGACTGATCCGATCTTCGACGTGGCGGTGGTAGATATGTGGGGAATGTCCGGGAAGGTGCGCACGATAAGAGACACGGCGCGCGACTAAGTCAGTCGAAGAAGCACGCGGCCACTTTATGCACGCGCGAGGATACCTCTAAGCAATGTATGTAATATAGAATCGAGCCGAGCCTCCGCCGTCATCGATCGCGATTGGGTCTCACGCGAGACTCGAACGTATTCTCACACTTCTCGCTTCTTCCGAGTATCGTGGAATTCATCATAATTTCATCATTGCATATGAAGCCTTATCGTTATCAACCGCTTTAGTTTCGCTTTGTTCGGAGGTCTCTTGGGAGATCAAAGTATTTATCGCCGGAGAGAAACGAAACGAATAAAGCTACAATCAAATCTGAGAACTGCAACGCATTTGTAATAATACATCTGATTTAATTGATGCATTTTTGCTTAAAATTATTATTATTAGTTTAATACTTTTTTATCAATTAAATCTTTTACTTCTCCTATACTGGTTGTTGAATTAATTAATTAAATCACGGAAAGTAATGATAATAATTTTAGACGAAAATTTCAAAAAGTGTCTTCTGCTTAAAACGCGAATTGAAATCGTATAATCGTAGAAGTAAAAAAAGGAAGTCGAACGCGTCGCCAATTATCGAAGATGAACGAACGGATTCGGGCAGCGGGGCTAGAAATTGCGCGCTAGCCAGATCTCGTTGAAACGAACAACAATTTGATTGCTCGCGTACGTGCGGCGATGCTGCGCGTGTCTCGTTGATCATCGCCTTTAGAAAATCGCCCCTCGACTTCTAAAAGCAACCTGCACGTGAACGCACGGTCACAATAATCTCTCGCGCAACGAAAATAGTAACGGGCTGGAACCGACGCCGGAACTTGCTGGGGTAAAGGCTAAACGGACGACCAAGGAAGGCGAGTCGAATGAAGAGCACGGGCAATTGCGCGCAAAGAAAGCTTCGGACGCAACGATCGCGACACGCCGCGATCGAATTAACGTTCCTCTGACCACAATCATTCTATTGGTTATTTTTAGTCGGAAATAGGTCAGAGCAAAGGGAGAACGATATCGAGATGCAAATGACGCGTCCCGGAGTCTTTAACGTCGACGATGGCAAGAAAAAAAAAATGGAATAAATGTTCGCCTCTCGTGGGCGGTACAAAAATGTGGCTATGTAAAAAAAAATATGTATCGCACGGACGACAAAGCGGAAGGTCACGGTGACAATAAGTCGGGCATAATTGCCGATCGTTGCGGCCGAATACGAAAAGGAACGAGGTATTAATTGTCGTTCGCGTAATAAGCCTGCTACTATTAGATAACTTAGGAACGCGCGTTCCGATTAAATGTTGCGATGCAGCTGCACACCTGTCGCAGGATGCGTGCATGTGCACAAGAACGTGCATTTAGATCAGTTAGTTAGAAAACAATTAACGGCATTGTTTGCTTCGTTTTCTCTTTATTATTACGACTATAACAAAGACTATCGGGTGAACGTGCGTGTCCAATTAAACATTCGTATGGCCTTGACGATCCTGCGGAGAATTTGTAATGAACCTTGAAGATTGCGTACACGCGCGGGACGCGTATCAGTCGATTATCTGTTTCGCGCATTCGTTGACGCGATTGCTTCAAATTTTTATGAGAGGAGGGAGGTTGGAAAAAGCACGAAATCGCCTGAGACGTCCAAACAATTTTTACGTTCTTTACCTGCGTTAAAAAAACGCAGGTAGCACGAGCGATGAGGTGCTTCCATCTTTTAGCGCAAAAATATAACGCGAGATACGGTACCATTAATAGTAATAGCGGGCAATGATGATTGTGGTCGATAACGTATCAGGACGGGACGTCTGTCGGTAATGCAACGTTTTTCTACAATGATAAGATAACGAACCGCAAGCTTACGCAATGAAAAAGAAAGGATTCGATTCCTTGAACGTAGTGCAAAATTTGTAGGGCGTGTTACCCGATTGATTACGTGTGTGAGTATCTGAAAATTCGGACACCCGAGTCTCGGGTAAAGCCGAATAGAATCCCGAAAGATTGACTAGGACTAGAATTTATAATCATTTTATTTTCATTCACAGTTTATTCTCAGTCAAGCAGTCAGCGACTGCTTGTTGCATATGTACGTGTTTCGTGATACATGATTGATAAAAATTTAAGATATATTTTTAAACATTTTATTTCATTATTAATTAACACTTTTTACAATATTATTGAAATAAGCCTACCACAGTGACCGAAGACGTGTATAATCGGCATCAAATGACTATCGAATTCAGTTTTGAGTCTCAAATCAAATTCGGCTCCTGAAATTACGGGTGCAAGTTTATGTGCTCGAGAAACTTTCGGAATCCTGAAAAATATTCCCAATTCGAGACCTACTGGAATTTTCGAATACCCTAGATCAATTAGTGGATTCATAAGTGGACGAGAGAGCGAGAGGGTGAAAGTTAAGCGTAACAAAACGCAAAGCAAACAGGTTCTTAGAATCGTGAATCGGCTTCTCGAAATTGAGATCAAGACACATCACGTGTCTTCGATGCGTGCGCTTCGTCACGTTCGTACTCCATCCTCGATGCGCGTTACATCCAACAGGTAGTTCATATAAAAGTTTCGTTCATCGCCGAATATCGAATATCTCAGTCCCGCAATTCTGTCCCATTCAGAGTGAATGAAACTGTTATAGTGCTACTTTTGTATGTGCATGCCACGCGCCTCAACTGATAGGCGTCTCTCTAGTATTGAGATATTGCCTCTCGTCATTCGAGTTTGACTCTAATCTAATCAGTTATCAATTTACAAAATTTACAACTCCTGACACTATTCTTTCTTTAGTTTTTCTCACTTTAATGTAGCTCCGTTTCACTAAAATCTATAAAAATACATGATTCTAAGTGCCCCTTTGCAAACATTCAAACATACGCCATCACTTTAACTAATAGCTAGAACGACCTAAACAGTGTCTAAATTTATGTCGATACGTACGAATATTTCGATGGCTACATGGAAAATTTTTATCGTTATTACGACTCGTTCGTCGATAAAGACTAATCACGTTAATTCTGATATCCCGGGGCCGATTCACGGGGAAGGAACAAAATAATAAAGCACAATTGCACGGGTCCTCAATTATTTCATTGCACATTGACGTCAGGTTACGCGTTACACAGTCGGCCAATCATTCTTCGCGGTGCGGCGAGCCCCTCGCAAAAACCGCGTACGGATATATTACATACGTACTTAGGTACGTATAATTTCCTCACGATTTTCATAGTCCGACTGCATCGGAGCTCGATAGAAAATTTAACCTTTCTCAAGAACGACTGCAATTTCCTGCCCACTTTCCTCCTGCTCGAACGATTTTCAATTATCCTTTGATTTCCTGTGCTTATTAATATAAGGCCTTCTAATAATTATTTATTCGCTTCTTCTACGTCCGTAGACTACTGTGTAAGAATATGTTTACTGTCCTACATACGAATTCGTGTTACCTGAAATATGCAACGTGGGCGTTCGTCACGTCGCGTCAAAATCGTACAAAGTAGTTTTGTTGCGTCATGGCAATCAAAATAGCTTGATTCTTTACTGGGTAGATGTCTGAAGCTTCGTCACGACCGTGGAACTGATACCGTCTCTGAGACACGTGAGATATCGATATAGTAAATCCGTTAGCGCAAACAAATTGAACAACGAGGTGCAATGGTTAACCGCGATACGTCAGAAACAATTTTTACAAAGTTACTTGCTTACGCATACGCTTGAAATGGACGATGAAGAACGACAAAAATGCGTAAGAACTTACAATGGACTCTATTAGCCAGCGTGTTCAACGAATAAGAAAATTATAGAGCTCCGAATTGGAATGAAAAAGTGTAGACGAGGAGAGAGGACAGTGTAACTGGGTGTTAAAATACCTGAGCGGGCAAATGCGTCACGTACATGTGCGACCCGCTCAAGATCAAGCCCCTTGCTTGATGACCGGCTGAACCAATCACCAGTCGACTTGAAACCAACGCCTACATGATTCAACCAATAGCGGAATCATCTATTCGAAGGCTCGTTCTTCGCACGCATTCGCTTTCTCTAATATACAAGTAGACTTTAGTCTCTACAATTAATCGCTGAACGTAGTTCGCGTCTGCACGTTTTAAATTACACGACATATGAGTACAGAATACGCGTGCGTAGACAAACAAGGTGCGTCGTCGCAGAAATTTCGGAATGATTTCTCATATTTCAACGTGTCCTTCGAAGCATCCATGGCAAACGCTAACTGTTTTTGACCCACTACATTCTGCTTTTAGATTTGTTTACTCGTATTCATATACGAAAACAAAACTTATTAACCGTTGAACTATCAAACCAGTAAAAATGAGTAGCTTTGAATGCAGAAATGCATGTATAAGGAGAATTCGGTAATTCCAGTGTTAATGCAGCATGAGAATGATTCAAATCTGATAGGAATCGTTGGAGATGTTCACATTTTCCTATGATTCATAGGGGAAATCGCGAATCTTTTGTACAAAACAATTTTACAACGCTACAAAGCGAAATCTAATAATATCATTAGGTCGACCCTCTAACTTACTTTGAAATCAATCCTGGCAACTTCTCAATTGTGACATTGCCATTCTAACATTATAACCGCCGTTACTTAAGACAACATATGAATTCTCATTTAGATCGACAGACAATTGAATTCCTAACCGATTGCGATTATCTACCCTCCACGATAAAAAAATGTAAAATGAATATCTACTGTTCTTTTTCCTCATTCGCGTATAATTCACCTTGCTAATTGCACGACCGTTGAAACGTATGATTCAATGTCACTCGGTCAGCGAACAACCGGGTAAAATGTAAGACAGCTAACACTAAACTAGCGCTCACCTTTCCCCTTTGGTTTCTAATGTATGCGAAAATAAAAAGATAATGGCGTGTCACGTGCAAATGCTTTATTCTTAGTTTTCAAAGTTAATACGTAGTCACGTGCAAATGCTTTATTCTTAGTTTTCAAAGTTACTTGACCGCGTACATTTAAAAATAAATTCGAATATAGTAGATAGATCGATT